CACGCGTACCTCGTGACAACCCTCCATGGTGTTGCTGACTCATTTCACACTCAGAGATGAGTGGTGGCAGTGTGGCCCTTCTCTGGAAGAGCAGAGGCCCGTCCTCGGCTGTACCAGCCTTGTGAAGCTTTGGGGGAGGCCCAGGGGCCACCGGCCTGCAGGGGCAGCGCCAGCCCTTTAACTAGGTGGAGACCAGCCCGTTGGGGACGAGGTGCCCAGGACGCTGAGGAGGCAGGGCTGAGGGCCACTGGTTCCACGTCCTCCCCCATCAGCCTGGAAACCCCTTGGCCTAGTCACACCCTCACCTGCTAAGCCCTGGGCACCTTAAACTCGGTGCTGGGGGCCTCACGTGGATTAGCTCAGCGAGTCCTCACAACTCTGGAGGTAGGGACTGTCATCCTAGTTTAAGGAAGGGAAACTGAGGGGAAGGCAGCCCACAAGGGAGTCCCGCCCTGACTGCACGCTGCTGGGCCCCTGTAATGGCTGGGGGAAGACAGGCCAATCAGTTGAGAGTCCTGGGACAAAGTGGTCAAGACAAGGCTTTCTGGGATCTCCTGAGGCAGAGGCCAGCCTGCCCCCACCGTTGGCCAGGGCCTGTGGAAGGGCCGAGTATGAGGGACCCTCTGTGGCAGATGCTCTCGGTCCCCTCAGCATACGGATTCTCCAGCCTTTCCCAGCTCACTCCATCTGCTCGTCAACAAACAGAGCACACGCCCAAATACGGGGACACTGTTTCCTCCGAGAAATTAGTCCTCAGAACACGAGGCACCGCCTCGCATGGAGTCCTGAGTCTCTCACACGATGAGGTGTTGTGTTTGTCATCTTGCTGGGTATCAATCTGGCTCCACCACTTCTAGTGGGTGACCCGGGCTAAGTACTTCTGTCTGTGCCTCAGTTTCCTCATCTGGAAATGGGGATAAGAACAGGATCCCTCTCGTGGGGTCGCCGAGAGGATCAATGGGGCCAGGTCTCTACAGCCTGAGCGGAGCAGCCCCATGTTGGCCGTTACCCCTCCTCTGGGGGATGCATTAGAGGTCCCTGACCAGAAAAAGGAGGAAAGAAAGTTACTAGAGGGGCCGGCCCAGTGGTGCAGTGGTTAAGTGAGTGCACTCTGCTTTGGCAGCCTGGGGTTTGCAGATTCAGATCCCAGGCATGCACTGACGCACCGCTTGTCAAGCCATGCTGTGGCGGCGTCCCATATAAAGTAGAGGAAGATAGGCATGGATGCTAGCCCAGGGCCAATCCTCCTCAGCAAAAAAAAAAGAGGAAGATTGGCATTGGATGTTAGCTCAGGGCTGATCTTCCTCACAAAAAAAAAAAAAAAAAGTTAGATTTGGTAACTACTCCCAGGGGATGAGTTCATAATACGCGGTGACCCTGTGGGGACAATTAGAAAACCAACAATCACATTGGCAGTGATTAACCTTAACTAACTTAATGAATACGGGCAGGTGACTTAACCATCCTGGATGGACCTCAATTTTTCTCACCTGGGAAACGGGATGCCCAATACCTAGACTTCACTGTTTAGGAGTGAGGAGCAAATGAATGAATGCAGGTAAAGGGTGAATGACATACCCAGCAGAGCAGGTATCAGTCAATACAGGTAAATGTTATGCAAATAAGGTCTTGTGGCTTGGGATAAAATTTCAGCAACAGCACCACACACAGATGAAAAAACACATGCTTAATCTCAAATAATTTAGTTGGGAGTGATGACAACATCTTCTGGAAAACTAGGTTAGGTGACTCAGAAGTGTCTGTAACAAAGACGAGACACCACTTCCAAAATGCTCGGGGAGAGTTTGAATAAGACAGCTTTGTGAAATGGGAGTGTGTGGACAAAAGCAATCATTCTAAATTAGCATATTATCTTATGCCTGTGATTTAAAAAATATATCTATAAATTAATAAACATTATAAGAATCCATGAAACTACTTTATTTGCGTCCCCAAATATTTTATAGTTTACATATGTTTACACAAACACACACACATGAAAAGGCTTCTTGGGATTTTATCATTGGGAAGGGGGGTGGTTGTTTAGGGTTGTCCTGTATTTGGGTGTATTTTCTGAGCACCTACTACGTATAGGGCCCTGAGTGGGGCTCAGGGTGTCTCTGGTCTCCCAGAACTCTCAGTCCAGTGGGGGCGACAGAGGGGAAGGAAGTCACCAGGAGATGCCCCTCTGATCTGCCCTGGGGTAGGTGCCACGGAAGGGAAGAAGCACAGGTCCGCGGCGGGCAGGAGCCTGGAGTGGGGTTGGGAGGGCTTCTCCAAGGCAGGCATGTCTGTGCTGAGACCTGGGGGTGGTATTATGGGTCCCCCCAAAAGATACATTGAAGCCCTAACCTCGAGAGTCTCAGAGTGTGACCTTATTTGGAAACAGGGTCTTTACAGAGGTAATCAAGGTAAGACGAGGCAGTCCGGGTGGACCCTGATCCAGTGTGACAGGTGCCCTCATGAAAAGGGGAAACGTGGACACAGAGACACGCACACAGGGAGGACACCAGGTGAGGATGGAGGCAGAGATCAGGGTGATGCATCTACAAGCCACGGAATCCCCCAGATTGCCAGTGAATCAACAGAGGCGTGGAGCATGTTCTCCACGGCCCTCAGAAGGAACCAACCCCGACACCTTGACCTGGGACTTCTAACCTTCCGCACCCTCATGAGACAATACATTTCTGTTGTGAAGACCGCCGCCTGGAGTACTGTGTTAGCACAGCCCTGGCAAACTAACATGGGGGGCAGAAGTGAGCCAGGCGGGGGTGGGGGACCCAGGCAGAGGGAGCAGCACTCATGCGGGGGAAGCGCGGCCAGAGCAGCCACCATCGTGAGGAGCATGACAGGGTCACTAGGGCCCGAGCCTCTGGTCACCCTGAAAGTGGGGCCTTACGGTACCCCACGGGGTTGCAGTGGGAATGAAGCGAGATGCACGGCTCATGCCCTCACAACGGCGCACCCAGAGTGCCAGGCAGGCCACTGGGGTCTCGTCACCAAGACAGTGCCACCTGCTTTCCCGGGGGGCGGGGGATGGGCAGTGGAACAGAGAAGTGACAGAATGACGGCAGGGGCTACGGAAGGCCCCTGAGGAGGTGGCATCAGACTAGGCCTGTCTGGAGCCAGCCCGAAGATCTGGGGGAGCCCCCCAGGCGTTGAAGAGCCACTGCCACGGCCCCGAGGGCGGCCTGCAGTGCGGCTGCAGCGGAGGGATGAGGGGGCGCGGGCGGACACGCGGGCAAAGGGCGGGGGCGATCGTGCAGGGTGGACGGGAGCTTGGGCGAAGCGCAGGGCACACCAGGCCTGGTACGTAACACGTGCTCGGTAAACGTGAGCCTCCCTCGTTAATCCTGGGAGCTGGGAGCCACTGGAAGCTTTAACCAGGGGGAGGGAAGGACGACAGCCTAGTTTTCAGAACGCCCCTGGCTGTCAGTGAGGTGCGTGAAGCGGATCCTCAGGGTGACTCCAGCACGCTCGCCTGCTGACATCTCCAAGGACCCCGTTTGTCTCCTTATGAACTCTGTGTCACCCCCACATTTGAATGGCCCCATCCAGGTCATGAGAGATGACATTACAAACAACAGGAGGAAGGAGGTGAGATCCTCTCACACCCAGCAGAGAAGGAGCCTTGGACCGGGGTTCCCAGGCTCTGATCCAAGCTCCATCCCTCACCAGTTGCGTGACCCTGGGCCTCAGGGGCCTCATCTGTAAAATGGGGCAAATAAGAGGTCCACCTCTGTTGGAGCTGTTGAGGATTCAGTGAACTAATTCACATGCAAGAACTCAGAACCGAGACCGGCACACAGTGAGTACTCAATAAACGGTGGATACTGTAGTCACCTACCTTAAAAAAGCAAAGACCGCCTCTTAACTGCATGCCCGCTTCTCTCTCTTTCGATTTACAGCCCAACACCTGAAACACCTGCTTATACAACTGCTTCCCTTCTCTCCTGGCCCCTCCAGTCACCTCCACGAGGCTCAATCCGACGCCCAGTTCTTGGACTCAGCCCAGCTGAGCGCTCACGGCCCACAGCCACGGGCTCCTCCGCGGACTCTCTGACCACCGAGGGGTCTCAAGCCCAGCTGTACCACCTCACCTCCTCTCTCCCCATACTCTCAGCCTCCGTCAGCTCCTCTGGCCTCGTGCCTTTATGCTGATGACACCCCAATCTCTCTCTCCAGTCGGGCCTCTCCCCGAGCTCCAGACTCCTTACCCGCTCCGGAGCTCTCCTCCAAGCCTGCTCCTCTCTCGGCCCCCACCTCAGCTCAAGGCAAATCTGCTCTGGAGGCTGCAAGCCCTGGAATCATCTTCAACCTCACTCTTGCTCTCACTCCACATCCAACCTGCCAGTAAACCACGTCTGCTCCCATTTGAGAACCTACCCTGAAGCTGCCCTCTTCTCCCCTTCCTTGGCCTCCATCCCGCTCCAGCCCGGACCACCCCAGCAGCCCCTCGCTGGTCCTCACGGGCCACGCCCCACACGCAGCCACAGGGACCCTGTCAACGTCCCCTTTAGATCATGTCCCTCCTCTGCTCCGCACCCTCCCGTGAAGCCATCTCCCTTCGAGCAGACACCAAAGCCCTTACATGTGGCCCACAAGACCCGCCACGATCTGTCCCCATTGCCTCTCTGACTTCGTGTGCTCACACTGCCCCGGCCACACCGGCCTTCCTCCCACAGACCAAGCACGCTCCTGTCTTAGGACCTTTGCAGCTGTCATTCCCTCTGCCCGGGCATGTTCTTCATCCAGATACTGCACAGTGCTAGCCACCATCTGACCTACTGCCTGCTTTTCTTAGTTAGCCTATTTGTTGTCTGTCTCCCTAGCTGGAATGCCGGCTCCCCGAGGGCAGGGACCTCTGTCCACGTGTTCACAGCTGTATTCCCAGTGTGTAGACTGGCACAGCGTCCTGCTGAATGAGTGACAGAGGTGTCACCCCCTTCCCCACCTGGGCTCGGCTCTGGCAGCGTCCCACAAGGCGTCCAGGCACTTACTTCTTTGGGTCAGTGAAGGGGAGTGGCCGTGGCGGGGGCTCGTCTGTTCTCTTCCACCCCATTGGGTGCTTATTGCGCACGGGCTGCTTGGAGAAGAAGGACTTGGGGACGGAGGCGGAGAGCTGGAAGGGGCTGGGCTGGGCCAGCTGTGAGGGCCGGGGAGTCTCTGCGCTGGCAGTTTTGTAAACCTGAGCAGGATAGCCAGCCCTGGAGCTCATATCACTGCAAAGGGAAAACGAGAGAAATAAACGATTGAATCCATTCCACGTTTCACAAAACCAAACTGTTTAAATTTACTCTTGGGAAAGAAAAAAATCCATTCACACAAGCGAGTCACAAATACATTCCTGCTATGGAAAATTCCAACAGTACAGAAGCCTATACGGAGAAAAGGTGGAGTTGCCCGCACAGCCCCCAGTCCCATCCAGGAATGCCCTTCTAGCACGTTTGGTGCCTCTATGGGAATCTAGAAAAGTCACTGCCGTGGGCGGACGCACCCCAAGATTCCGTCTCCTGGGCACAACACACACAGCTGAAGGTGGGGGTCCCGCCCCCCTGATGGTTAGAGGTAACCATGGTTTACAGCTTGCTCTGCTTCCTTCTTAACCCCTTCCTACGCATGCAAATATACACGTGTGTACAACCAGAGAAACAGCACCCTTTGAGGGGTGGGTGGAGGACTTACGTTTTTATATAACCAGGGTCATGTTAATACATTGTTCTGCACTTGTGGGGTTTTTTTTTTTTTTTTTTTACTTAAAATATATCTTGCCATGTAGTCTCTTCATTCAAACACTGTTTGAGTACCTACAACACACCCGACACCATTCCAGCTGATCTAATCAAAACCACAGCTCAATATCCCAAATGCTGGGTTCCTGTGGAATTAATGCTGCAGGGAACCTCGTGCGGTTAACTAGGACCCAACTCTCAGGGACCCAGCTGCTTAGCCCACTGAGGCAAATCAACGTTCAAAATTTTTAAATAAAATTCCAATTCCATTTCAAGCAAGAGGTATTTACTAAGAAAACTGATACCCTTGGAGTGTAAGTCAATAAATCCTTTTTGAAGGTCAACTTAGCGATACGAAGGGGTGGGACTTTTGACTATGGCTGAATGAGGGGACTGGCAATCTTTTCTCCAAAAAGCACAAAATTGACCAAAACAAAAACCATTTCAGCACTTTGGAAACTGATCAAGGGCATACAACAATTGAAGAAACATTTATGCTTCAAACACTGCTGAACAGAGGAAAGGAAACTGTGGCGTTTTGGCCTGAGCCTCTTCCCGTTCTCCAGCCCAGCTCAATGAACAAGGAAGTTCTGCCACCACGGAACCTTTGGGACAGTGCCATGCAAACCAACATAAGTGCAATGAATTTCAGAAGCACAGAGAAAGGAGCAGAAGAAAGGGTTGAAGAAATAATGGCTGAAAACCGTCCAAATTTGGTGAAAAACATTAATCTACACATCTGAGAAGCTCAATAAATCCAAAGCAGGATAAACACCAAGACATTCGAATCTAGAAAAACAGGTGAAAGTCTAAGACTAAGATCATAAAGTCTTGAAAGCATCAAGAGAAAAAGGATTCGTCACATACAGAAGAGCATCAATACAAGCAACTGCTGACTTCTCGTTTGAGACAATGGAACGGAATTATATTTTCAAAGTGCTGAAAGAAAAAACGGTTAACCGAGAATTCTATATCCAGCAAAACTATCCTTCACAAATGAAGGCAAGTAAAGATGTTTCCATACAAACAAAGACTGAACGAATTCACTGCTAGCTCATCTGCCTCGTGAAGTAATAAAAGTCCTGAGGTCGAAAGGAAATGACTTCAGATGGTGACCTGAATCCATATGGAGAATGAAGAATCCAAGATGGTAAATTTGTGGGTTGGAATAAAGGACTCTGGATTTATGTTTTCTTATTTCTTCTCTAACTTCCTTAGAGATATAAGATTGTATAAGGCAATAATAATGACACCATATTGTTGGGTTTATAACACAGATGGACGTAACACATATAACAAAAATAGCACAAACGAGGGGGAAGGGAATGGGGTTATACTGGAGAAAAGTTTCTATGTTTTATTGGAATTAAGTTAGTATTAACCTGAATTACACTGAGAAGATGCATATTATAATAGCTAAAAAAGTCAAAAAAATCAAGAGGAATCCAAACAGTACACTAAAATACATTTATTCAACACAAAAGAAGTCAATAAAGGAAGAACAGAGGAGCAAGAAAGATAGTACACATATAGGAAACAAACAGCAAAATGGCAAATGTAAATCCAATCACTTTTCCATATTTACATTAAATGTGAATGTTTAAACATCCCAATCAAAAGGCAGAGATTGTCAGACTAAATTAAAAAGGCAACCTCCAACCATACATGCTTTCTACAATTTAGCGACATCTATTAACAGGGCCAAGGATGTGCACTGGTTGGGGGATGTCCAGGGAGCCATGGAGCACATTACACCAGGAGCGGACTTTGGGGTGGTCAGGAGGCAATGGCGTCTGAGCTGAGCACTGAAGGATGAGTACTGTCAGTCTAACACCTGACCTTGAAATCCACGTCACAAAAAAGCCTGCACAAGTCCACGTAGGCACATACAAGGATGGTCACTGCAGTGCTGCGTGTAATTAAGAGAAGCTGGAAATGGCCCAAAAACCTTTTTTTTTTTTAACTTTTTTTGTGTGTGTGAGGAAGATCAGCCCTGAGCTAACAGCTGTTGCCCATCCTCCTCTTTTTGCCAAGGAAGATTGGCCCTGGGCTAACATCCATGCCCATCTTCCTCTGCTTTATATGGGATGCCACCACGGCATGGCTTGACAAGCAGTGCATTGGTGCATGCCCGGGATCTGAACTGGTGAACCCCGGGCCACCACAGTGGAGTGTGCGAGCTTAATCGCTATACCACTGGGCCGGCCCCTGGCCGGAATGTCTTTTAATAGGGGATTAAGAGATCATTCCAAGCATATCCGTATGATCAAAAACTATGCAGCTAGTGCAAAGAATGAGGTAGATTTCTGTTTATGGACGAGGACAGATGTCTGAGCTACAGTAAGTGGAAACAAGGCATGGCACAAAGCTTGACTCGCTTCTTTTTCTTCTTTTGAATGTCTATACGTTGTATGATTATTGGTCTTTTTCACAAAAAGGAGATGCACAGTGTTTTCCAACTGTGGGTCATGAAATCAATTCAGTAGGTCTTGACCATTATTAAGGGGAAAAAAAAGAAATAGACTAGGATAAAAAATGTCAGGGTACATCACGTGAGTCTGTGAAATTTCATTCCGCATGTCCACACTGGGTGTAACGTAAAATGCTTTTCCTGTCTTGGGTAATTGTCAAAAATGTTTGAGGGGCTGGCCCTGTGGCGTAGTGGTTAAGTGCTCATGCTCCGCTGCTGTCGGCCCGGGTTCGGATCCCAGGCACACACCAATGCACCACTTGTCAAGCCATGCTGTGGCAGCATCCCATATAAAGTGGAGGAAGATGGGCACGATGTTAGCCCAGGGCCAGTCTTCCTCAGCAAAAAGGGGAAGGTTGGCATGGATGTTAGCTCAGGGCTCATCTTCCTTACAAAAAAAAAAAAAAAGTTTGAAAGAACTGGGCTGGTAGAGATTTGGAGAAAAATCTCAGGGAGAGTGTAGACTAAAAGATTATCTCTGGAGGTAGTAATGATGGGGGACATACACAGAATAAGTCAAATGAAACCCACATAAGTGGCACGGGGTAAGAAGGAAGTGCCATCTGACACTTAGTCTCCCTCGTCGAGGCAACCTTGGTCCACCCTTTCTTCTTGACAGACAGCCCATGCATACACAAGCACATGGGTGTGAGAGGGAGCCTGTACTCTCCCAACTGTTCTTTGTAAACTAAACGGCAGCGCATCATGAGCTTGCTCTGCACTGGCTTTCACCTCAACAGTTACGTTCTGGAGCTCTCTCCATGTCAGTCCATACAAGCCCCTCTGTCTTCAATGGCTGCAGAGGGTCCACTCTATGAATATATCCCAATTAATTTTAACCCTAACTTTTACTTTCCACAGTACATACTTCTCTACCTTGTCAACAGGCATGTTCAACTTTTGTGAGCTGAAAAAACAAGAGATGATCTTAAACAGGAAGGGAACAAAGATGAACATCCTTTGTCTGTGTTTGCCAGCCAGGTCCATCCACTGCCTCTTTCCAGATGGGCTTGCCCTTCTCCAGGCCTGTGGCAGGCACTGTGGTATCATCCTAATCCCCCCACACTCTGTGAATATAGGCTGATTTTACTGGCCCTTGTTTGAGGAAGGTGACCACACACCCAGCCACAGGGCAAATCCTGATTGGCTGACGCTACTTGGGTTGGGGTGGGCCTGTGAGACACGGAGTGTGCATGCGGACTGTCTGCTAAAAATCAAAGAACCCTGGCAGAAAACATCACCTCCTCTTCCACTGGACACTATACTATCTGGTTGAATGACAGCCACTTTGAGACTGTGAGGGGAGGCAGCCTGTAGTCCAGTGGGGGCAGAACAAGAAAAAGGGGAAGACCCTGGGTCCTTGAGTCAATAAATTACCCAGTCCTGGGGCCCTCTTAACCCAGGACTTCATGTTCTGTGAGATTACAGGCTTTCACCAATGGAGCTGGAATATTCTGTTACTTGCAGCCAAAAGCATTCTCATGATGGTCCCCATCTTCAGCCTCTACGAGCCTCAGGAACGGAAGCAGGGCCTCAACAAAGTACTAGTCCCTCGAACGTGCTGTGCATCTCCACCCAGCCCTGCGAGACAGGTGTCCGTGCTGCTCCCCCGACCCAACTGACACACCGCTATCTCCGCTCGAGTCCTTTCCCCTCAATGAGTCTGTTTCCTCCTCTGAGACATGAGGCAGCAACAGCCTGCCTCACAGATCATATGTGCAAAGTGCTGGCACAGGCCGGGCCCCGGGAGGTGCTCCCCGAGCTGCAGTTGCAAAGGGAGGTGGTGTGTCTGGGGGCTAAAATCTCCGGGCTCAGCAGGACTGGGGGTGGGGCATCCTGCTCTGCGCTCCCACTGCACCCTCACCCAGAAAGGCTCTGCATTTCTCCGTGTTGTATCTTAGAGGAGCATTTAAGATTTTATTGGAGTAAAGGGTTTGTGGCTTAGAAAACAGCTGAAAAACCACAGGCCAGGTGGAGAAATCACACAGCTGCGTGGGCACGTGTAACGCTCTGGGCTGCC